ATCACTAGGAAAATACACTGATGGTTTGGGCATCTCAACCACCATAACCATCCTGGGAAGTTAGAGAAGAAGTACGTTTCATGGACACCACATTTTAGGGAAAAAAAACATTAAATAAGGTAGAGGGTGCCCTGAGGAGGGCAACCCAGAAGGTGAAGGACCTTGAGTTCATGTCATGAGGATTGACTGAAGGGCCTGGAAATGACAAGTATCAGAGGAGACAAGACTGTTGATTTTAAACACTTGAAAGGCTGTCTTGTAGCGGGAAGATGAGACTCGTTCTGTTTGGTCACAGATGGAAGAACTGGAAGTAATGGGTGGAAAATACAAATAAAGGTACAAAGAAAGGCTTGATGTCAGCATTTTTTTTTTAAATTCAAGCTATCCCAAAGTGGAACGGGCAAGATGACAACTGGTCAGGGATGGTCAAGAAGAGATTCTTTGGGAGTATTGGGTTAGACTGTATGGCTGCTAGTTCCCTTTCGACTTTGCAGTTATGTTATTTTGTGAATACAATGGCATACACGTGTGTGTGTATGTGTATACACACAGTATATGTACATACATATACACACACACACACATATATCTCTTGTTTTCAGGATATACAGACACATATTTGCACATTTACACACATTGAGTTGTAATCTCAAGTAAGGAGATAATTGAAGTGTTGTAGGGTTACATTTTCTCAGCTGATGGATTCAGGTAGTAATGTTATCAATCCGGAATCTAGAAATAATTATTTTTGGGAAGATATATCCAGACTTAGATGAATAATTCATAGGTACTCACCAATTCTTTAACCAAGCATGTTCCAGATTAAAGAATTTTCTGGGCTTGGACATGAGAAAGTTTGTATTTTAGGTAAGATCACTGAATAACATCCAAAGTGTCTCAAATGCACTCAATCACCTGTACTTTTCCCTCTTATACGAATGAATAAAGTTTGTTAAGTTTTAATAAGCTTATTCTCCAAGTATACAAATGACTCTCTGTGAAGTGCATTAACACCTTCAGAACACTGCGAAATCATTTGGGAAACTGCCTCTGTAAAGCACTGCAAGTCTTCTAAGAGCCTGGACCAGTTCATATCTCTTCAAAAGACACTGAGTTAAGGAGGAAGGACGGAGCAAGGATGAGAGAGATCAAATGACAAGCCAAGAAGAGAGAGCTGCATGATTTTCTGACCTCAGTTTACAGATCTGATGTTTTTCTAGATCACAGAAGATAATATTTGAAACCATCTTTAAAAACTCTGAGAAAAATTTAAAAATCAAGTTTGAGCTTATTTATTAACCTGATTGAAGTCAAACTCCAACACCACATTGTGGCACGGTGTTTCTGGGGGCTACGTCAGCCAGGCATACGCACACTCCACGGGACCGGGAAGCCCCATCCAACCTATTCCAGTTCAGAGAAGCTCATGGTCACAGGAAGCACCGAAGCCTGTTGGCCAAGCCGTGTTGTCAGCAGAGGGCTCTCAAAAGAACTGAGCTACTCAGAACTGAACACTAGTAAGCACCTCTTTGGTGTGTGGGGGGGCGGGATTTACTTGCTCAGCTGCCTTAAATATAATGGAAACACAATTTCTAAGGCATTTTTCAACAAATAAAGGAAGGCTAAAAAAACTCACTGATGACATTAATGGCAATCAAGAAACTGCATAAGGACAATTACTCAACAAATACGTACTGAGCACTTGTGCAAAATACTGTTCAGCTTGGAGTCAGGAAGGCCTGAGTTCAAATTTAACCTCAGACATTTACTGCTGCCTGCATCAGTTTCGTCATCTGGAAAATGAAGATAGTAATAGCTAAAATGGAGATAATAATAACTACCTCTCAGGGTTGTCGTGAGGATAAAAATGAGATGTTTGTAAAGCTCTTTGAAAACCTTAAAGTGCAAAATACATGCTAGCTATCATCATCATTATTATCTTTATTTTTATTACTGTTTGTATTTTTATTATAAATAAAAACAGAAGCAACAGGAATCTGAATATTTAAAAGAGATGGAAAAGTCTATTTTCAATAATTTATTTTTGATCCATAAAAGCTAGTAAAGTATAATACTTTCCTTGATCACTCTCCCAACAGCTAAAATTAATTTTAATGCCTAAGCAAGATACTGCATGGTAGTGAAACATGTTAAGTTCACTGACAATGAATATTCTATTCCCAAAATCTCAAAAGAAAAAGAAAGACTATTTGTGCAGTCAACCACCTGAAATGATAGACTAACAGAAGCATAGAGTAAAATCACATGTGGATTGAGTGCATGCATTCCAGCTTGTGCCCCACCCTAAGCTACACGTTTAATGGAAATATGTTATTAATGGAGAGTGTCTACCTCAAAACATAATGGAAGGAACTGAGAAGCTAGGTAGCAAAAGTCAAATCCCTAACACTGAATAAAGAAATAAATATTCCCAATTTCTTACATTAAACATTATTCTGATTTCAGGTACCTTCACCTTTTATAATGTTTCAAAATCCTTATGAATTGAAGACTATCAAATGTGAATTGCTCCTAATTTCACTCACACCTGATGACTTCCAATTGGGTCATCTTCAAGAGGCTGTTTCCCCCTTGATCGAGGGCCCTCTCTTATTGTGTGGTTCATTTCGGTTTTGCAGGACAACAACATCTCCTAAGATGGCTTTCTCTGGGGAGGCTCCTCTTTAGCACTCCTGTGAACACCGAGAAAAAGCTACCTTCTGGGAATTTCAAGTCTTCTGTCTTTTGGGATCTTGGCACTCACGGGGAAGATGCAACCATTGTAAGCTCCACACTATTCTTTATTTTTGAGGTTTTTTTTTTTTTTTGGCTAGGCAATGGGGTTAAGTGACTTGCCCAGAGTGACACAGCTAGCATATGTCAAGCATCTGAGGCCAGATTTGAACTCAGGTCCTCCTAACTGCAGGCCCGGTGCTCTATCCATGTGCCTCCTAGCTGCCCTCATACTATTCTTTTACTTGTAATTAACTTATTGATAAACAAATGTTTATTAAGCATCAACTCTGGGCCAGGCACTAGAGTTATGAGTAAAAAGAATAAAATGATCACTATTCTAAGGAGCCTTATTTCAAAAGGCTAAGAGACTTTGTAATCAATTTCCTCAGCCTAAGAGAAGAGAGAGCCTCCACCAAGACCTAATTCGGGAAATATCGTCTTGCCAAGTCAAGGTGTCTTTTACAAACATCTCGATGCTTGTAGGGGGCCTGCCAGCTTGGGGCTCTCTGGACCTTGATTAACAGCTATTTAGAGGACATCAGTGCTTCTTGTCCATTTTGTAGAACCTACCCACGCTGGGTGCTAAGTCAGATCACTAGCTTGGTCACTTCAAGGTGGCTCTAGCATTTAGAAACTGACTATTTCCTGTAAAAGGAAGGCAAGAAGGAAGAAAGTGGGTGTCAGTGAGAAGGCAGCTGAGAGTAAAGGAAAGAACTAAATTAGAAAAAACTCTTAAAGCTGACTTTCTCTTCTCCTTCAGGCTTTTTCTGTTTAACTTTCTTTGATTCAGTGACTATCTTTGGAAACGCTAATTAAGTAAAGACCACTGAAGGCTTTCCCTCTAAAGCACATAATGGAGGGGGAGTTGGGGGGGGAGGGGCGGGGAGGGAACACACAGTGAAAAACTCTGGGCCTAAGAATATTCTGTGAGGAGGGAGGGTGTCTAACAATAGTGGTCCATATTTCAGAGAGAGGTTCTATAACTTCTATAAAGAGAAAGTGGTTAGGGAAGAAATGGTATTATGTCCTAGAGCTCTTCATTACCTTTCCAGTATTCCACCCATTTGATGTTACAGCCTTTTAAATTAGCACTTCATCAGAGTTCTGAAATGTGAATCTCAGAACATCAGAGTTCTTTACAATTTTCCTAATTGGGCTCTCTACTTTTAATTTGCTCCCTTTAGTCTATCCTAAGTGATTTTCCTAAAGCAGGGGTTATGACCACACCACTCATCTATTCGACAAACTTCAGTGGCTCCCCATCACTTCCCTTGATTTCAGAAAATGTGCACTTTCCTAGGTCACCATCTATCTCTCAAATCATCTGTTTGCTCTGTCTTACCTGCTCCTCTTCAGCCCAAACTCTTAAGATGGGAAGGCATCCCCAAGTTTGTGTCCTTGATCCTTGAGTCCTCTTCCCCTGTGCAATTTCCATTCGCTCCCATATCTTCAACTATCATAATCAAGCTTCTGTCTCCTTACTCTTGGGGAGTGGCACCACTGTTCACTCAGGCTCTGATGTTCAAACCACAGAGCTTATTTTCAATCTCTGGGGTCTCTCATTCATCATATTTAAACAGTTACACATCCACGTTATTTTCAACCGACAGCATCTTTCACATGTTTTCCTTCCTCTTTATTCCCAACGCTGCCATCATAGAACAGGCCCTCGCTCCCACTCACCTGGACTCCTGCAACAATCTCTTCATAGGACTTTTCTTCCCCAAGATAATATCTTAGACCCCAGCTGCCCATATCCTATTATTGCTGCCAATTACTCCCATTGCCAAGTATAATACACCTTTCCTCCCATTCCCCCTAAACTGTGAAAGGATCTTTGGGGACTCAATGTCATTTCCATGGTTCAATTCAACATCAGATTCTCATTTTATGCCACGCAAGAAACATTCATAAATCATGAACTTTCAATATATTCGATGAAAGAAGATTGTAGATATTAATTTTTTAGTTAAGTTTCATTAAAATATTATGCTGTGTAAGAATCTGGACCATTAAAGAAACAATTCATCCATTTTATATCGGATTTCAAAAAATCATCTCCAGTGTATAGCTAAAGTTGAAGCTAATTCATTTAGGGACTCATTATATATTCACCCAGCAAACAATTTTATCCATGTCATATTCATAAGACTCCCTGTCACCGCCTGTTATAGCAATAGAACACAAAATCAATGCAATCAATAGGCTCCATCCATTAGAAGAGTTTTGGTGGCTACAGAACACATGGGCCACATCTTACTCACCAGGAACAAAGTGCGGAAGCTGCTGAGGTCACCGAAGAACTCGTCGATTGCCACCGTTTTGGTGTCAAAAATGAAGTACTCGCCAAGATTGTCATAGAGTTTTACCATGTTGTTGTGCATGGTCAACAACTTTTCATACTGGTCTCTGGCACTCTTCGCAAAGCTGTAGGTTTGTGTTAAGGAAGAAAACCCAATGCCACATCCCAAGGCATTTCTTACAATGTAAGATGGATGCTGTCATTTCTATAGTGTAGGAATATCAGGGAATTTTATTTGGGAAACGTCTAATCAATCTGGATTCAACAGTACTGTACAGGCAGGAAGTATTTAAAGCAATAGCATTTACATGAAAGCAAACCCCTTCCCACCACCACCACTAAAAAGTCACAAAGGTACTTAGAAAGAAAGCACGAGAAATAAGACACTGTATACAACCAGAGGAAGAGAGGGGGAAGGGACTTTAGGAGGACTATCATCTCACTCATCCTCTAGGATATACTCTTGTTAATGCAGACTAGAATTATTGTACCTTTTTTTTGGGGGGGGGGGTGGAGGGAGGCAAAGGGCTACAACATCCCGCTACTGATTCATTGAGCCTGCCATCAACTAAAACTCCCAAGGTAGTTTATTTATTTTTTATATAACCTTCTACCAAGCTTCATTTCCTCCATCATGCATTTGGGAAGCTGATTTTTTGAGCCTAAGTGCAGGACTTGACTTTTATGATCTTTGATTTTAACCTTATGAGGTGCAACCGAAACCTTTTTAGATCCTGTTCAAACCTTTTTTAGGTTCCGATTCTGTCATCCACTGCATAAGTTTTATCATTTGTAGTGAGAAAATTCTGTACATTTTGCCATTCAGTATACCACTGGTCTGAAACAACAGACAAGGATCACCTCATCATGCCCCTGCCTTCCTACCATCATCATGGCTTCAGATATAGCTGTGCACAGGGTAAAATAAATTTACTTTGGATAAACCAACAGTTACCAAAAAAAAAAATCTCCCAGGAAGGAATGTTTCCTTGTCACTTGAGGACCAACCTATCTGGAGGTTCAGAGAGGATCATCACCTGAGCAGCCACCACATTCTTTGAGGTCCCTGTCTGAAAGAGAGCACATCTGACAAGTAGGTTGGATTTTGGGGGATTTGAAGCATGCTCATGTTTCAAAGATATTTTCATCACATTGGAGAGTTGGCAAAACTACAAAAAAATTACTCATTTCTCAGCATAGACCAAAAAAAAAATACCCCAAGCCCAACAACCAAACCACTTCTTTTTTTCCTAGTCTCTTTTAATGAAATAAAACAGAAAAATGAGAAATCAGTCACACCAGGGACTTACCAGGCAAAAACACTTTTCCAAGGTCATTTACTTGTAATCTGTTTACAATGCAAGGTATTAAACTGTTTGCATATTTCTAAAAGCTCAACATCTGTACTCCACAGTGAAAAAGCCAAAGATAATAAAAAAGGCCAAGACTTCAAGGTCTCCATTTAACATAACCCAATTTTTCACCTGCTAATACTGTCCTTGAAGCTGTGTACAATTCATGAGAACAGAAAGTGTTCATTGAAATCCTAACGGACTCTGAGTACGTGCACCAACAGCAAGGGCAAACCTGGAAAATTCTGGACATGGTTTAGCTTAGAATGAGAAAACTGAGAACACTCTCATCTCCCAGACCTTCTTTTATCTTCCATGTGACTATTTTGTGGATAAAAGATGCCACTGGTGGAGAGTGACACTAGGTCCCATTTACTAGAGGGTTTGAGGTGAAAAGCATGTGGGTAACATCACCATCCTCATGTGTTAATTTATTCTTCCAGGCATTCACTAAGTGTCAACTACTTGAAGGCTACTAAGCTCCATGCTGTGGGAGAAATGATGAAATGGTCACTGACCTATAAAAAGTGGACAATCTAGTAGGGCCAAGTGGGAAGAATTTACTTAAAATTAATTAAAGAATTTTTCCTCGTTCTATTAAAAATAAATCCATAACTTTACTTGACTTGTCTAATTTGAAATTTACTTAAAAAACCCTATAAAATTAATAACAAAATCTTTTTTTTTTTACCACAGATACTTAATGGAAAACAAAATATATCATTTCAAAACTGTGACTTAAGCAAAACCCTTTAGAAAGAAGATACTCCTGATCAGGTGCTAGTCCGAGAAGACCATTTAAAATTTCCCACAAAGTGGACAACCTCCAACTTCAGAAGGGCTCTGTTGACACAGAATTTGTTCCCTGAGAAGTAAAAATCAAGGGCTGTGGGGAAAGGAGTTGATGTATCATCTTCTGGCAGAAGGGAGTCCAATTAGACCTTGTACTTTCTCACCTTTTCAGGCAATACATTACTGACCCAAATTTTAATCCCCAAATCCATGAATTATAAAATGTCAGTTCTGTTGGATTGTTGAGGAACACGGAAAAATCAACTTGAGACCCACTTAACCTTCACAAGAGCTGGAGTTAGAAACGTGGCATAATTATCTATTGAAATGAAAGGAAGTCAGAAATATATACTGTCTGAAAACTAGAGATAGCATTAACTTGTTTCCATATAACCTTTGAGAAAAAAGCTCCAAAAGGAAGAACTCCCATCAACCCCATTCTTCCATTTATTACAAAGTTAATTTATTCAAGATTTACTAATATTTGAAATCAATCTATTTAACAAGGGATATTAGAAAATGATTAAAAAGCGGGAACAACTACTGATGAAAGTTCTGTCAAGAACATGGGATGTTTGAGCTAAAGGTAATACCAGGACAACAACATCAAGTAGTTCTAGCAGCTTTCATTTGAGCTCCACGTAAGTGGAGAATTTCCAATCCAAGTGGATCTTTTCTGGAGGAGCTAAGGTATGGACCTTGGATCCCATCCTGCACGTGCCAGCTCTCCTTAGCTCTAGTTTTAATGCGCTCTCCTACGCGAAACGGAGATCAGCAACTGTGGAAAAAAAGACAGAGAGGAGGGGAAAAGACACTAGGAGAGGAGAAAAAGCCAGAATCCAGAGTAAATGCCTGGAGGCTCTACAGGACAAGGGAAAAATCACCCTGGTCCGATGAGAACAGTGGCTCATAGGAGAGGAGAGTGGGAATGGGAAAAGGGCCCTAGTAAACTGGAGTTGGGGTCCCTCTGTGACTGTAACAACACATCCTAACCTCTCTGTCCTTTTCTGTACTTGTTAGTTGGTAAGTTAGTTGATAAGATAGTTGGTACTCTCTTATCACAGCCTCCCATTGTTTCTATAAACAAAACATTTTGTAAACCTTTAAAAAGTATCCCCAGGCCGTGGTATCTGGGATCTAATACTATTAACAATCTGGAGGGTGACTGGAAAACCTTGCTAAGTGGAATAAGCTCAGAATGATCAGCTCAGCAATGGAATGGGGTTTTTGTTTTTTGGACTTAGGGATTTGTTAACTGGCTATGTGACCATTGGCTCGTCACTCAATCTCTAAGTACCTCTGTTTTCTCATTCATAAAATAATGGGACTGGGCTAGATCATATCTAAGGTACCTTTTTCTGGCTATTTCACTGACACTTCAAACTCAGCATGTCTAGAACTGAATTCATTATCTTCTTCCTGCTAAACCTGCCCCTTTTCCCTATTCCTGTCAAAGGTACCATCCTCCTCCTGGCCACCAGGTCATCTTCACCTCTTCTTGTCTCTCTTATCCTCCACAAGCCATCAGATGTCAACAGGTGCTGATTTTTAACTCTGAAACGCCTCATGCATCTTCTCTCCTCCCTACTCACCCTGCTGGAGGCTCCCTAGTTTGAGCCCACATCATCTTGAATCTGTTAACAGCCTCTTTTTTCCTAGTTTCCCTGCATCTAGCTTCTCCCCTCTCTAATCCATCCTTTACACAACTACTAAAGGAGTTTTTCTGAGAGTAGAAATTCAGAAAGGCACACAGACAAGCTGGGCAGTACTAGAACTACAGTATTAAAGCTAATTGCTAATTTAAAAAAAAAAAACTATATGTAGATCCACTGTGCCACAGACAAATATCTTTATATATTCTTCTTTGTATGAGGAAATGTTCACGTTGGATTTATCAGCTTCATAACAATAAAAAGAACATCATAAAAATCAATTAAGCAGCGGTCCTGAGGCTGAGGTCTGCCCTAATCATCAGCCTACACCAACCTCTTTTGTGCTTCCCAACGCTTCAGCCTGGCACTGAAGGCTCTCTATGATCAGGCTTTTACAGCATTTCCTTCCCAGATCCCCATTCTATGTCATGCTTCAGCCAAACTGGACTGCCAGTGGTTCCCTGATCACATCCTGCCCCATCCCACCTTTGCTGGTGACACACTCCTTCCTCATCTATCATTAGCCACCTATTATTGAAGGAGGAAGATGTGGATTTCCAAGTCCAGTTCTGCTGCCACCCCTTCCAGGAAGCCTTCGCTGGAGCCCCCAGCTGAAAGGGATCATCACTCCCTCCACATACATGAGGGAGCACTTGGGCTGGATCCTTATATTATGTGTGTAATCCTGCCAATGGACGCTCCCCTCCTTCAGGGCTGGGGCCCAAGGCCTTTGGGTTTCACTATACTTTCCCCTACCCCTATTTCTGTTCCTTGGATATAGTAGGGACTAAATAAATGTTTGATGAAGAGAATTGAATTCTCTGGCAGGCCTGTAAATTTGCAGCCAATTTTCTATATTCTTTTCCACTACTCCTCATCTATTTTTAAAGTTCCCTCCCCAAACTGTGGATGAAATGAGTTAATATATGTAAAGGGCTCTGCACTTCTTAAAGTGTTATAGAAATGTCAAATATCATAATTCTGCAGAGAGGAGAAATTATAATTTTTATTCCCTTCCTCAGCTCAATACAACCTAATTCAGCAATCATTTATTAAATGCCTATTATGTCTGAGGTCCTGCTCTGGTCTGCTGGGGAGAGACAAGGAGGAGACAGAGCCCCTGCTCACATTTGGTTTAACATATGCCTTAATTGCGCAACTGAGTTCTTTAACCTTGAAAGACAGTGAGAGAGTTTATGTGAAAGATGATATACAAAAATCACACTACTATCCTTTATTTTTTTAGGAAAAAGTTTTCCTTAAAACAAACACAAGCTCCAAAGCTTCAATAGTGTTTAGATTGACAGTGCAATTCTATCTTCAATGTGTTT